AAAAAAAATCTGCAGGCCACTTTTAGAGCAAGTGGCGGTTCACTGGAGTGCATTTCGCTGAAATCGGGCTAGAACTTCCGCATGACAAGTCATAATGCCGGAAATGCCAATTCCCGCCCGAAGAAGTGAGCAGCCGCTTCGAGTGACTTGTCACCTGAAATGACACCAACGTACTTCAGGAAGTGACGGAGCTAAATTCGGGAACGCTGTCAGGCCTTCATACGAAATCGTTGCCCATAGTCGGCAGTTTGGAACCGCTCATTTGATCGTAAAAACGCATTCCGTCAGATTGTGTCATGTTATGTCAAGACTTATAAGTTAGTTTGTGCCAATACTTGGGAGATTGCGTAATACTTCCGTACCGATGATGAATCCAAACATGAACTCGAAGCCGTGGGTTCTCGGTGGATAGGGGAAAAGGGAATGCAACCACGAAAAGCCACTTTACATCAGTTGCCAGACAGACCTTTCCTCGCGAGCTAAACAGTCGCGAATCAGTGGTCGGCTCTGATGGGCCTTGGATTTTCTGACTGAAGGCATCGATTCCTATTTAGTACAAGTGCATTACGGCACCTATAGACATTCCTTCTCTTTCGAAGCCCAGAATTGAATAAAGCACACTGAACATTGTTCACTACTGCGAATCCTTCGAAGCAGATATCAGCTGTGAAACGTCCACGTTGGATATAACCCTGCAAGTTAGGTCGAACCTGTATGCGCACAGGGAAGCACTATGACGGGTTCCTGAACCTCATTTCTCAGACTTCCTGAACAGTCTATCTCAGAGGTCCTTCTTGGAATGGTTCCTCAGGAATGGGTTTAGAGTATGCTTCTTATTAGTGATTCGAGGAGACCATACATGCTGGTAAATAGCTATCGATTGGACAGCATTTCCAATGATCAGCTCTGACTATTCCACTATAATGAAAATACTTATCTAAGCTTCATAAGCCATCACAGCACCTCCAGTTCATTCGAAAGGCCTTAATACCTTCCGCGGCTATCAATCGAGGGTGAATTCATGGTATATCCCATAATTTTGCTCAACCTCGACCATTCGGACGCAGTCGTCCTTACACGCTACATCCGCTCGAATAAAATCGCTGTATTGACATTGAAGTTGTACGGAGAAGGAGGCATTGAGAGTGCTCTATTGAGTCCGATGGTCCTTGACTCCATTGTGGGGACCAGTTCCGAGGAAAGGGAGTGTAATAGACCATCTGAAAATTGCCTCGGTAATTTTACCGTCTCGACTATAATGTGGAACAGTAATACGTCTGTAGGGGTTGGATAATAACTGCGAAGTAGTGTTCTACTCATAGAGGAGGGAAAAAGAAAGGAAAATAGGGAAACTGTTTGATTCAGTCAGTCATTATCTTTTTTCCCAGAAAGACATTATATACTGTAGAATTTTAATGACAACATCTCTCATCTAACAACCATGGTGCAGCGCTCGCAAAGGCTATAAGTGTTTTTGCACAATATTCGTAGACTTTTAGGCGAATTAGAAGCTCGTACTCCAGCCAAGACGTGTTTCCTCACCATCGACACCACATTCCCACAATTTCCCGGTGCCGAAATGTGGAATCCTCCTAATGTAAGTGTTCGGTCTACAGCTAATAATTGTAGTCCCATTCAGATGATTATACAGAACTTATGGACATACTCCCGAAGGCTTCCACTGTTTCAAGCCTTTTGTTTTGCTAAATTCACAACTCTAGTTTCTAAAATCCTGAAAATATTATTTCTCAGTAGTGTCTGGTTAAAAAAAGGGATTCAATCCGAATGACTGTGATGCTTTATTATCAGTTTTTGCCTGGATGGTTCGAGCATATGTCAACATATAATGTGGGCAACACTATTGGTGCAAAGCAGGGAGCCAGTTTACTCCGGTATTGGAAAAGGGGTCGAAGATGGGGACCGATTCTTGGAGACGACCCCTGGATGAAAGTTCTGCGCCGATACACTCAATGCTTTTCGTATTCTTACAAATGAAAAATGAAAGGTCCTGGCACGACTAGCTGACGTCGCTGACCCCATTAGGATTTGTTGACCCATACTCCATGCACGACTATACACGTCACACCTTTCTGTACAATTCTTCATTGTTGAAAATGTCATGGAATAACATTCTTTCAGGGTATCAGCGAGGACTGTTTGAATATGAATATATGGGTACCGGCTAATCATGATGGCTCTGTGCTTGTATGGATTTTTGGAGGAGGTAAGCTTCAGACTGTTCCTATTCTACTACGTAAGGAGTCATAACGGGATCACGATGGTACCCTCCGAGTCTCTCGCTTGAGGAGACAGCTTGCAAATATCGCCTATTCTCTCTCTGCAAATTTGTTGTTTCCTGACAGTTCAGACGTCTTGTGGATCCACTCCTAGATTCGCTTAACCTAATAAATTTTTACATTCTACTTGTCATCCGTAAGTCTGAGGTGCTATTCTTCCAAGGCTTAAAAGACTGAGTGAAAAAAGTAGAAAAAATTGTACCGACGAGTGGGTAACATTTCCTTTGAGCACTTCTTGGTCCTCGATTACTCTTCAGAGTTTTGACTCAAAACTGTTAGAAGCGGGGATGGGAGCTTGGAAGAATCTTTGCAAGAGGTTTGGAACGTCTTGTGCAGGGTTTTCACTCTGGTACCACGATTGAATTAGGAAGTCTGCATATAATAAATTGGATTTTAGCATGAGAGGGTTTGGAAAAGTCCTAGTGATATCGAGAAAATCTCTAACGACACGGCAGAATGAGTGTAGAAGGAACAGGGATGTCCTCGGTGGCGTTCAATAACTTTGTTTGAGATAGCCAGATTGGTTACCTGACCTATTCCGGTGAATAAAGCCTAGATCTTACAATTGCCTGCCTGAGAGTAGTAATCTCGGTATGCCGTGGTTCTATTCGCCTTCCCTATTGTGCTTTTCCCATGTACTCCATTTTCGTAACCTTCCTTTATCGAAGCACCCTTTGAACAATCGCATGAAATAACTGAATAGAGAAAAGCAGAAAAATGTTTTCTGCAATTTTTCGGAGAAATCAGAATGTTCGAGATATCGCAGTTGTGCTTGCCATACGTGTTCTCTAAACATATCCACCCTACTTCCATAACCGCTGGGGAGTGGAAGAATCGTTGGGTGGTGGTCCTAAACATTCTCCAGTCCAAACTTCATAGACATGCCTTGATGGCCATGGGGCAGCTAAGACTTTCATGGACAGTGGTCGAAAGTTCTTATGAACCGACATGTTCGATCCCCATGCGTGAAGGTTGTCCCCAGCAGTTGTCCTTTCAACGCTATGAGGTTGACCACGTAGGGTAAACAAATAGCCTGACGTTTTGGTTGTGGCCGCTCTGCGCTTCTTTCGCTCTAATCTTGTTCCGGTCTCAATCATGTTCTTCCAGACTTGTCTAGCAATCGTACTACCACGCAATGACCGCTATGTTCAGGTTTCTTCAGCGGTTCTCCTTCGTTAGACCTCTATGACGGTACAGCGTTGGCAGCTAAGAAACATACAATTGTAGTGAACATAAACTATCGGTTAGTCCTTTCTCCCTCTATGCCTATACCGAATTTTGCTAATACTCCGACTACGTTTCAGATTGGGACCATTTGGTTTTCTCTACCTCGGCGACGATTCACCAGTACCAGGAAATATGGGTCTACTGGATCAACAAGTGGCACTACGTTGGATACATGAACATATCGGTGAGCGATGGGGATTTTTTAGCCTGATCCGGATAAAGCTTCAGCTCATACATTCGTTTACAGGCTCATTTGGCGGCGATCCGACTCGAGTTACGCTTTTCGGTGAATCGGCAGGCTCCGCTGCTGCCACTGCCCATATTGCTGCCCCAAACAGTTATACATACTTCAATAAAATAATCGCTAATGTAGGTGTTTTTCCTCCAACTTACTTTATTTCGATCTCGCCGTAGTCCTTAAGCTGTAACCTACCGTAATAAGGCTGCTGTACTGTGGGTAGATGGTATACTGTAGAAGGTACAAACTTTCGGACGCCGGCTCCTATTTGAGAATGACACTAAGGATCAAGTTGGCTGATGTTTTAACGTTTTGCCTTTCTTCAGAACTTGATCAGATAAAAACTAGCTCATAGTGCAGCTCCAAGTGCAGCTTCAGCCTCAATANACGCCCTTGTCCCTGATACCCACCTCAGCGAAAGAGCAATTGCTCAGTAACGGAGTCTAACAGTCTCAAAGGCTCTTGGGGAACGGATTCTGAACATTATTTCTGACGAATCCCCGGAATTGTTACTGGACTGCTCACCAATCCTACTCTTCTGCTTCAACTTTCAGATTTGTTTCTAATTAGTATTTCAGAGCTCTTTGGCACTCACGAATACTATGTTCTTCTAGCTGTTGTTCCTCAAAGAGTAAATGATGAAAAGTTTATTTCAGAGTGGAACGATTATGAACTCGTGGGCAAGCCGAACACCAGACACCATGTTAGAGTTGTCGTTGAGGCTTGCCAAACGGCTAAATTGCACAGCGAGAGGCACGGATGCCGCCGCAATACATAACTGCTTACGTGCAGCTCCAGCCGGAGTTATACAGGTAAGCAAAACAGTTCCCTCAGGTCATTGGGATAATTTGAAACGTGATGGAAGTTTGTAGATGGAATCTCGTCAACGTTAGGCTTTTCTGTTCCTGTCCTCACAAAGGTCGCCAGGAGTAAATATTGAAGACTTTTGGAGCCATAGTCATGATTACCGAGATTATAATTCTCAAAGCTTGAATTGTTGCAACGTACCTTTGACCCTAACCTACGAATAAACCCACTTATTTCCCTCTTCCCCTTCCAATGATATTTCAGTTTCCTCATCTCACGATTGTTCAAATTTCAGGTAGAAGCCGACTCTGTTTCAAGTGACATCAATCTGCCGATGACATTTGCTTTTGTACCCGTCAGTGCTGATAAGAATTTCTTTCAAGTAAGGTTCTTTTTGATTTAATTTTTTTCTTCATTCGAGCGATTTCTTGCATTTCTAGGGCGATGTATTCGAAAGGCTTCGTAGTCGTAATTTCAAAAAAGATGTTAGTGTCATAATTGGTACAGTGAAGGATGAAGGCACATACTGGTTACCGTATTATATGAATCGTTATGGTTTCTGGTTCAATCATACGATATCAGCCGAAGATCCCCAAAATAAGGCATTGATAACGAGGTGAGTTCTGGAGAGATTTGACATGTACATGGCTCATTCTGACTTTGCTTTTTTTCAAGGGAACAATATCGGCAATCGATGCAAGCGTTTATGCCTTATTTTGGTAATTCGCCACTTGTCGAGCATGCTCTTCTTCATGCATATCAAACTGTCTCCGAAAAGCAAACTTTGCCGTAAGTATTCGCGTATACGAGTTCTTTTTCGGGCAAAATATGTCACCCTTAATCCGTGCTGGCAGCACACTTAATGCTGTGCCCGTTCCTGCACCAGTAATATGTTTACACTGCATAGTAAAAAGTAAGGGCATGTCTGCCTTCAATTATAAATACCCTCGCTGTAATAATATGCTGTAAAGGGTTATAAGCTAGGGGAACGAGAATATACCTCGCTGGACATGGAATCCACTGACTAAATTTTCTTTATCAAAAAAGACTATCTGCTCCCATTCAACATTCTTTCTCTGTCAATTTTGCAAAGACGAATAAAGTGAAAGGAGAAAAGACGTCTTCCATGAAGAATGTATCGTCCTCAGTCTTCCTAGAGAATCCAACGTCAATTTCGAGGCATAGACGTTAGGACCACCGCGGGCCGCCTCAGCCGGCGACCCAGTTTTTGCGATGTGACCGCGACAGTCCCTCCTGACCCACATTGGAGGAATCATGAACAACTGTAATCCATGAACTTCAACGAAGTGGTGATAGAGCCTATTAGGTTGACTACTTTGACAGAACCACTTAGGGGTTTATAATATCCTGCTCAGGCGTTCTAATGACATGCTGCACCGAAAGCCTTCATTCCGAGCAATCGGTCCGGCCATGTATGTCGGCGTTTGTAAGATCAATGAATCGGTCTTCGCTTCTAAAATATGTATTTCTGTTCAGAGAGCAATTGCGAGATGGTGTGGGACGATTTCTTGGTGACTATTTCTTCACATGTAGCCTCATCGAATTTGCCGATATAATAGCAGACAATGTCTATGGCCCAGTGTATATGTACTACTTTACAATGCGGTCAGTTTCTTTTCCCCGGTTATGAGGGAACAATCAATTGATTAACCACGATTATTGAAGATCCACTGCAAATCCTTGGCCGAAATGGATGGGAATCATGCATGGCTATGAAATTGAGTATGCTTTTGGGCAGCCGCTAACTAGGCCGTCACTTTACGAAAAGGTTCTTGACTTCGCTCACTTAATAAACGAAACCAGTTGAATGAAATTATTAATCTCACTTTTGTTTTTTTTTTCAGAGCTATCTGGGAGTTGAAATACAGTTCTCTGAACTGATCATGAAGTTATGGACTGATTTTGCCAATACAGGGTATGCCATGCTTACCAAACTGAACAGTCTTCATCGCGATGATTTCTTTTTCAGTACTCCGGCACCGTATTGGCCAAAATATAATAGAATAGAGCGCAAAGCTTTAGTACTCGGTGAAGAGTCGACGAGAGGAGAGCATCGAATCCTCACCGATATTCATGGAGCTGAATGCAGACTAATCGACGAGGCGGAAACCGTAGCTGGACAAGGTACGTAAGTAAGGGCCTACTTGTGGATAGGCACGGTATGGGCGACGACATTTCCTTGACAAAATATGAGAGCGGATTGGAGCGACTTCTGCAAGTGTAGTTCCCCTTCGACTATCATCTCGGGTTAGGGTCACCAGCTTATAAAGGTCTCCTACCGGCAGTCATGTCGGAACACTTCACCCTCAGACCCACCCGAATTGAGTTTTGTGCATAGCAAATCCGATGGATGACGATGACAATAATATCTACCATTCCACCCGAAGTCCGGGCCTTCGAAAGATTGTGGTCCCCTACCCGAGATTTTGTGGATCATTGATCATCTGGAAACATCGTAGAACACTTTTCTCAAATCTCGTTATGGACCACAGATTCAAATGATATGATGATTTGTCCTTTTCTAGTTTCTGAGTGTCGTGCTCGTCGTACCCAACCAGCCGCAGCAATTCAAGGCATTACGAATGGTCAAAACAGCCTTACTGCCAGTGTGTTCGCAGTCGTCTTCGTTTTCATCAAAGCGCTAACTATCACTTGATTGATGCCACAAAGTGATGGCGAAGTTAGAGCTTGTTAGTTGTCTTCTGAAGGTGCCTTCATTATATACAGTTTGTGAAATTCTCTCGTGTCAATTCACTTTAAGTAGGCTGTAAATAAGATCTCGTCCAGTGTCCTAGCCGGATCCTTTCACTTTCGTCGCCTTTTAATCTTTTTCGATATTCATGTGTAACAACGTTTACATGCGATTGTACGTAACAATGTCAGTCTGTAATTCATTCGGTTATAATTGCTGTTGCTTCAGTTTTCATGAGCGGTTCTTTTGATGAATGTTTATTGAATGGGTATCGATGTCATTCGTATAAATGTTGTCACCCTTTGAACATGTGGCTAAATTACCTGAAAAGTTTTTTATGTCGCAACGCTGCTTATAGCTCTTCAATCACCTCCTGAATGGCTGCGTAACATGTTCACAGCATGTCTAGAAGAAGTACCTATTGATGCATCTGTAGGCTCAATTGCGGTTGAACCACTCGGATGTGTCTGGCACACTTTATGATAAGTAGTTTATGAGGCAAACAATCAACAACACAACAACAATAAGATAAAAGGACGAGGAGCTTCGTCGAACCGAATCATCAATAATAATGACGACGAGGCGTCCTTATATAGGGTTTCATTGTCTACACATGTTAAGGTGGTATAGACACGTTAATGCGGAATAAACATGAAAATACCACATAAAACACGTTCACCAAGTGACATGTCGATGAGATCCTTACACGTCAAGGAGGTCCCCCCCCCNCCCCCCCCCAAAACTTCCCACAGCATCAACTTAACAAATCTGACAGAGACAGAGGACAGAGAAAAGAGTGCGGCATGTTCCGTACACTTTTCCCTCTGAGAGCAAAAAAATCGGATCTCTCCTTCCCTTGATGAGAACAGAGTCTTTTGAAACTGGTCGCTCGAGCATCAGGGTGTAAAAACATTATGTATATATCGAAATATCGAAACCTATGTTAGACTATGTACTACAGGGGTATGAAAGTATTATAATAACGAACTGCAATAAGTATGCAGTGCAGCAAAATTTTAAAACATTGTTACACGGACGAAAAGATTTTCCTATGTGAACTTCGCCTCCTCCACCTACACGACCGAGATCTCACCTTGATATTCATTGCTGCTAATAAGAACATTCGTTGGGAGAATTTCTTATACTAGAAACTTCTACCTGGAAAAAAAGTTGAGGCAACTTTATTGACCTGAATATACTCTCGAATCTTGCTAAAAACATTAACATTTCAGTATAAGCCAGGGGTCGTGGTTCATGGCCACCCTTTTGACGCGATCCGTATCGGCTGTACTTGAGCTCACAGACCTCCACACTCGCTGAACCACCACACCCCACCTGCGCCCCGTTCAGGAAGGCGGACCAACTCCTCGAGGTCCAAGGGGTGTTGGCTAGGGAAGGCCACCGCCTATGCCACAGCGACCCCAAGCCATCGACTCCGCGACGAGATCCCAGCCCCCGACACAGGGACCAGCTGTATGAACTCGGCGAAGAATAAAATTTTTCCCCAAGCTACCTTATAACTGCAGTTGCTCGACGTCGCTATTCGTGTCTTTTTCGGTCGCTTTTCACTGCGATAACGCCACATATCAACTACTCTTGCAACCTTTTGTAAAACGCAGTTATTGCGGATGGTGTCTTTGGAAGGGTTCACAGGAAATCGAACAGTCCCTATGATTGCCCCACATAAAACTAGAATTTCGAAACCAACCGCAGAAAGTCAGGAATATGCTTCCATGTTGTATTGATACTGAAAGGCAATCGATCCGGAGGAGGAGGGGAACTTAGTGCTTTAGCATCAGTTTTGAGGGTTAAAAGCCTTACGGGGCATCCAGAAGAGTGATCCTTCCAAGCAGAGAACGCGGGTCACCGGTAGATCACGATAGATCACGATTGGTCGATGACAACATAGTCTGCCGGCGCGCCGAAGGCTTGAAAAAGCGATTCTCGTGATCCGCTTGCGTGGGTTAATTAAGAATCAGCACGGTCTCTCCATTTCTCCCAGCTTCCGCAGATGATGCTCTGTTGTGCTGCTGGTCAAAAGAAAAGCCCCTAAACAGAAGCAGAGCTGTTGAGCGAGAGTTCTCGATAGGCAATGTGAGGGAAAAACAGTATCGCAAGGATCCAGCGTCCATTATATAGAAGGTCAGAGGGGCGTAATTAAAAAGGAAAAGTAACAAGGTAAAACACAATCAGTATTGAAAACTTACTTGGTGGTTCGTTTCGCCTCTTACTTCATACGAACCACTTCGTTTTTTGCCAACCCCGAGGCTCATCAGTGGATGAGGATTGGCAAAAAACAAGGTACATTAGCGTTAAAAAGTAGTGAAACAATAAAATTAGCAAAAAACCGAAACAGTCATAAGTTCACCGTACAACGACAAAGGAGGAGAAGAAGTAACAATCAAAGCCAAAAGGATATGAGCTAACAAAAAACCTGGATCCTACTACGATTACTGGTATAGCTTTCTTCAAAATCAAATCAGAACGATCAGAACTCACCCTTTGTCGAACAAAAGGGAACACTTCAAACGAAGAGCTCATAAACCAAGATGTGTTGGATTGGCATTGCCAAAGGCAGGATTTCGTTAGGGAATTGAGAGCATATACGCTCACACCAAGGGGGAATCATAACATTGAGTGTGTTACTACATAGATGTGCACAATCAGAGACGGTCATTGCTTTTACGCAATATCCAAAATTTTTAAGGTGGCCTACCTGAAAGATGATTTGGCTGTGTCTATTTTGAACGCAAGCTATTGTGCAGAGTGGTGCGCCGATGTCGAAAAAAGCGAGAAAATCTTCGGAGTCTTCGAGATATTTGGTTTTTTCAAAAAGCACTGTGTGCAAATTGTATCAAATATTAGCTACAGTGAAATTAGCCTTTGGCTTCAGTCGTGGAACTTGACACTGCATTAAAAATGTGCTCCTGATATCTTATATATAAGGTCAATAAAAAGAATGGACAAGGAAGAAAGCCGAATACAGCAGAGAGATAACAAAAGACAGTGGGCAAACAAAGGTTCAGCTGTGTTCTCCATGCCTGCGCGTTTCATCAATAAAGTGATCTATCGTTGTGTTTTTGATCTTTCTCACATCCATTGTCAGAGAGCAAAAGAAATTGCTGAAAATTTCAAAATGAAGCTCATCACAGAAGTAATTTCACGAGACACGTGAGGTACACAAGGGAAAAGCGGATTTGAGAGACTAATTTTCCGAAACCTGATCAGGGAGCCTTCACATTCAACAAGAATAATCTATTAGCAACGCACTGAATGTCATGTATACATAAAAAGAAACCAAACTCAGAGATAACGTCAATTCAACTGCGAAAATGCATAACATAATATAGATATGACAACCACTAAAGCTACTCGTTGGTCTCGTTAAAAATAGGCATAGAAAATAAAGAATTAAGATAGTATCAGAAATTCAATATTGAATCAGAAAAGCAGGACACAGAAGCATCATTATTGTTTCATCCCGATGACCGGCTGCTTGACTTTTCAACTTTGTTCCAATCTTTCGGGGTCAGTCAATTGGTACCAGATTAGGGAGACTGAGAGGATAAAAGCACCGATTTGAGCATCGGTGGTCATCGCAATTTATTGTATAGGCCACATACGCATTCAATACGCCACTACGTTCTGAACGGAAGACGCATACGTGGATGCATCCGTGAGACGGGAATGTTTAACGCCCCAAAACTTTATCTTCCACCCTTATGTCACCAACAACGCCATATTTGTAATTGTAATTGTAATTGTTAATTGCGCAGGATAATACCCATGCTAAAATAATGAGAAGCATAAAACCCAGAAGTAACGAACAAAAGGAAAGTTCCTAGGCAATCTAAAGTTAACTAGGAGCTACATAGTGAAGGAAAAAGAAAGAAGAAATACAAAATAAAAAACGAAGGACATAACAAAGTATATTAGGATGTAAGATACTTTTCTAAAGCTTTTTTGAAAGAACTTAGCTTGCCCGTCGAAATACCTAGTCCAAGCAGCCTAGTAAACCCCGAGCTAGCTCTGTAA